CGAACTTTATCAAAACGGTTGTTTTTGGAAAAAAGTTACATGAAACTTTATTGAATGTTGTCTTACATGAAGTTTAACAGTTGTGGGGGAGTTAAAACTCCTTGATATTTTCTTAAAAACTATGCAATGATAAGAACAGATGCCTTTCAGGTCGGTTTCCTCTCTTCGTTAAAGATCGTTAACGAAGGGGTCGTCGTTAACGATCGTTAACGAAGGGTCGTCGTTAAGGATCGTTAACGAAGGGTCGTCGTTAAGGATCGTTAACGAAGGTTGTCGTTAACGATCGTTAACGAAGGGTCGTCGTTAACGATCGTTAACGAAGGTCCGTCGTTAACGATCGTTAACGAAGGTCCGTCGTTAACGATCGTTAACAAAACGACGAATTTTATAAAAACGATCGTTTGAAAAACGATCGTTTTTAAAAACGAGCGTTTTGAAAAACGATCGTTTTAAAAACGACCATTTTTTAAAAAACGAACTTTTTAAAAAACGATCGTTTTTAAAAACGATCGTTTCGTTTTCGATTTTTAATCGTCGTTATCATAACGAAACGATCGTTTTTCTGAAAAATGAAAACGTTAACATCCCTAGTTGCAACTTGCAATGCATGTTTATAGGGTTAAGGGACAGTAAGCGAAATTTCAAGTGAACCATCATGCAAAGATGCCATGATGCCCAATTTACAACAGTTCACGTAAAAACTTTGCCTGATCATCGAGGCCAGAGAACTCTTTGTGTTTATCTCTCAAATAGAGTTCGATAGGGATTAAGGAAGAAAATTTACTGAGTTATTATCTTTTTAAGAAAGAAAAATTACGATATTTTCCATATTGGTAATCCAATGAAAAGCTTTAGGCAGTAACGTTGTGAATCGGATATGTCAAGGATTTAATGCAAGGAAAGTTATTTCAGAAGTGTACGCATCTTTTATGCTGCAGTTTACTGTCTCTGGGTTGTAATGTAAACACAAGATAGATGTCACAGCCTGACATGGGATCCATCTTTCACATAAATAATAATGAAATATTCTGGTCATAGGAAATTATTATGTGAATTATCAAAATCTTCAAAATTCAATGCTTTTAACCTCCTCGTATACTAGACGAACACTGATGCATCTATTCTTGTTTACTAATTCCGCCCAGAGAGAACTGGTTTCAATATGTACGCAGAGAATACGCAACAGCAATTAACTTTCCTTGCATTACATTCTTGGGATATGTAACACTTTAAAGGGAGGGTCATTTGTTCGGGAGTTCGGTATTAATCCCATGGACAACTTCCCAAACTTAACGAGTGATCTTCGCCGATAGTCCGTTAGAAGCGGCAGATTCCCAAAGGTTAGACTAGGCCCTCTGAGGTGCCGAAGCCAGCAATGTGACCGAGCACTGCTGCTAGGATTGGCTAGGGGACCGAGCACTGCGGCTAGGACAGACCTGGAAAGTTGCAGTTGTGATTGTTGCACATTTGGGAAGTTGCCATATGGGAAAATACCCTTGGGAAGAATCATAACTCAGCTGAGAGGAACATAAACGTTTTAAATTTCTAAGAAATGAACATATAAACGGTCTCGACACGCGTAAAATCAAAAATAGAGGAGCTACGAGGTCACAACGTTGAAGAAGTAACTTCGAATGAATTTTACCTTTTCCCTCTAGTTTACAGCATTCGTGGCGTGACGAATGCAGTTTTCATCTTTGTCTAATGTGATCGAAGAAAGGAAATTCTTCTTTAGATGTGATATAAATACAATATTCTACCAATAGATCATCCATAAGAGTAAAGAAGATTTATTTTATAAAAGCTTTTATTTACAGCACTCCTGTATGCCGCGTCCATTAGCGCCTGATCCAATCAGGGTTCAGTCATGTGTTTGTTGTCTATTCTGAACCAGTAGAAATAGTAAGGCGGTAACATCTATCTTTCTATCTATCTCATTATTTAATTAGAGCATACATGAATACAAGAATACAAGAATACAACAATACAACAATACAAGAATGCAAGAATACAAGAATACAAGAATGCAAGAATACAAGAATACAAGAATACAAGAATACAAGAATACAAGAATACAAGAATACAAGAATACAAGAATACAAGAATACAAGATTACAAGAATACAAGAATACAAGAATACAAGAATACTAGAATACAAGAATACAAGAATACAAGAATACAAGAATACAAGAATACAAGAATACAAGATAACAAGATTACAATGGGAAAGAGAATTCCTAAACTTTAGAATTATCATATCTTGACTTTGATGCATTATTATTTGTCTTAATTTCCTTGTAATAAATCTTTAAAAAATCCATCTTTTTGTTCTGATTTGTCGCTTTGAAAAGCTTTGAGATTAATCTAATATAAACTGGTTTTGTTGTTGCGTATAACTATTATTATAAAAGGGAGAATTAGATTACTGTTTACACCTAAACGTAGATTTAAAAAGATGAATACATTAGTTGATACCAGATAGTTATCAGATCATCTTTGATTTTTTTTAACAAAGTGGGAGAAAAACTAGAAATTTGTTGACGGAAGAAAGTCGGCTTCATAACTAAACATTATTTACTCTGTTTACCTGTCTAAAGCACTGTTAAAATAACTAAATATTATTTACTCTTTTAACCTGTCTAAAGCACTAATAAAGTAACTAAATTTTATTTACTCTGTTAACCTGTCTAAAGCACTGATAAAATAACAAAACATTATATACTCTTTTAACCTGTCTAAAGCACTGATAAAATAACAAAACATTATATACTCTTTTAACCTGTTTAAAGCACTGATAAAATAACTAAATATTATTTACTCTGTTAGCCTGTCTAAAGCACTGTTTAGATAACTACAAATTATTCAAAGCAATGTTAAAATAATGAAACATTTTTTACTACTCTGTTACTATGTATAAAGCACTGATAAAAAAAACATTATTTATGAAAACATTTTATTTCGGATTTTTATTCACATAGATTATAATAGAATTCTAAATACTGAATAGTAAACATTAATATATATTTATATATATTCTGATATGAATAACAGTGATTTTGCGCAGAGCCAAAAATGGAAAATCATAATTTTTGAAGTTTTAAAAACTTCCAAAGATGTGGCTTAATATAAACCTTTTTCTTCATACATCGACATAAAAGCTTTTAACGCATATATAGAAGATTAAGGAATAGAAGGAATAAATACAGTTAATTTGACCTTTAAAAAAAATATGTAAAGAATTTGAAAAAAGGATATTAGTCAGAACTTTGATTGATTTTGGATAATAATCTAAAGATTGTGAATTTTGTATTATTTTGAGACATTTAAGTTTCAGGTTTGTTATTTACAGTGGACAGACTAAATATTTCAGAACTCGCATAACAGTGATTAAACACGCTCTGATTATGCAAATATTTTTTAATAAGCTATATTTACATTAATATCATATAAATTACACATATGCATACTTAATTAACATAATTTTACAGGTAAACATTATGTTCAATCCTACACCAAGGGCCAGGGAGGGGGGGGGGGTGCATTATTCTTGCTATGTCATAGGAATTCGGTTACGGGCTATTTTTAGATTTTCAAAAGATTTTTTGATTTCACCCTTTGATATTCTAACCGTCCTGTGACTGTACCTTACCTTACCCATGAAATTTAAAATTTTAAGATTTGATCTTAATTATAATGTCGAAAAAGTGAAGTAGTTTAATAAGCCGGTTATAAGGTTTAAAAAGAAAAATCCACATTGACCCCCAACCGGGGCTAGGGTAATCTGAATATCTTGAGCTTGTAAAAAGATTTTTGTGTACAGCCTATATTTCAATTATGTAAAGAACTAAGTCTTTGCCACAAATTCAGATTTTCCAATTCCTTAATCTTTGTAGCTAAATGTCGTAGACCTGAGATATTTTAAACTATGGATTCCGTTAAATCAAATAAGTTTGAAGGTTTACAACATCAGGTTGCAAAGATAAAGGGATTTGAGTTTGTGGCAACGACTCACCTCTCTTTTCAAAACTGTCTTGAAGATTTTTTATAATTTTTTCAATATATATTTTTGCATTTATATATATTTATTGTAGTGTAGATTAAGTTAATGTCTATCCCTGTTTTACAAACTATTTCAAGCTTAGATGATTAAACACAACGGATACAAATACTAGAAATTTATTACAAAATATCCGAAAAACTCCGAACGTTTGATAGGCTTAGGAAAGGAGAGGGGGGAGGAGGGGGGGGGGGCTGGAAATGTGGAAGACAGCCTTTTTTAAGTTTTTCTGTTTATTTGTTTCAATGAAAAACTAATAATATTGTAATCAAAGAAACTGATTTTCGCCACATACTTTAATTTTCTAATTCTTGTTGATGATATTTTAGACCTTTGACATTGCGATAAAATCCGCTAGATATATCAAATGTTTAGACTACAACGTGTTGTTCAAGATACTAAAAGTTTACACTATTATCAGATTGCATGTATAGAGGAATTAAGGTTCGCGGCAAGTGATCATAGTTCCTTGTATGAAAATAAACTTGATCGCAAAATCAAATTTTTTTTTCCTTTTTTGTATTATTTACGGATAGATTAATGCATAATGAAACTTTTTAAAAACAAATATTAAGTTTAAATACATAGTTTTCACCTTTTAAATGAATAGACAACAAATTGTTCTTTTAATGTGTGTCTTGAAAGTTTAAAAAGTAAAAATTTTCATTTTAAACTTTTTAAAAACTTGTAAACTATAGTTAAGTAAATATATTGCCAACTGTCAACTACCTTTTCAACTTAAAAATAGTTGCTTTTTATTAGATATTTTAAATATTTTATATAATATTTTGTTAACCTTGAAATTCAAAAGATGTAGAAACACGCTTGGTTTTTAATGTTCTTTTATCTCACATCAAACTATTGTTTACAGTGCAAACCAGAAAACTATGGAATAAATGTTATCATTTTTCTTTTACCTTTGCTTTACTGTAAAATTAAATAAAAAAGTTAAACTGTGTACTCAAAAAAATTTGTGACTAAAATATTTGCAAAAAATTTAAAAATTCGATTTTCGAAATTAAGTCATTCCAGGGTTTGCCAGTTTGTGATTAAATGATTCAGTCGATCAGGATTACAGAGAGCAGAAGAAAAAAGATAAACGTCTCTAATCCTGAAACAAAAATGTGACATCAATAACCTAAAATTATCATTTCTTTAAAGAACTCGGATTTTGATTTTAAAACTATTATTTTGGTTAGATTTTGGCCCTGAAGGATTAAAAGGACTAAGATAATATTACACAATTAATTCAAAACAGACATCAGGGTTCATCATCGGCTGGGTTGAAAACAATGAATCTTAAATAATTTAAACTTTAAATTTGAAAAAAACTCTTTATTTCGTGAACACTATTTTAGTTAAATCAGTTCACAATAAAAACTAAAGGGTTACCAAAAAAGTATATGAGACTTGTAAAACAACCTAAATTGTAAAAATATAATTGTCTGATTTGGAAAGAAGGATCGAAACAAATTTACAGTTAAAATTAACCTCGAACATTGGGAACAAGACGGAATAAACTGCGTACAGTCGTCTCTGAAGTCTCATCCTTTTTGGATAACCCTATACTAGACTGTCTCGGGATTCCTAATTTTCTGCCATTTTTCCACCTCAGAAATTGACAGAAATATTAAACGATTTGCCTTGATTCAAATTTATTTGACATGAAAACTGTTCATCATCTCAATTTAAAAGAAGCAGAGAAGGTATATTTGACATGAAAACTGTTCATTATCTCAATTTAAACGAAGCAGAGAAGGTATTTTGACATGAAAACTGTTCATTATCTCAATTTAAAAGAAACAGAGAAGGTATATTACATTTTGTAAAGCTCGTAAGTAACACTCTTTGTCATTTATTGAATAGCAAAGACGATTACCACGTCGCTCCTTTAGATTTCCATATTTCTTTTGCAAAAAAAAAGAAATATAGTTTTTGCCTGAATTTTCTTATCACTATATCTTAGCCGCCTGACGACAGGGGGTTGCAAAAATATAGGGATTTGAAGTTTTTTTTGGTAAATACTCAATTATTGACCTTAAAATTCTTGGTTTAAACCTACTTTGTGAAGTTGGCGCCGAGTTTAAAACTCGTCGATCGGTGGTCGGCGGTTTTTTAGACCTTGGGACGGTCGGAGATTTGTTTGAAACCATCCAGTAGGGGTTCTCAGTGTTGTGGGAGAAGGTTGGATCATAGGGTAGTTGAGAGAACTCGTAGTCCGTGAGGATGAGGTAGGGATCAGGAGTAGTTCTGTCATCATGAGTAGAATATTCTGAATTAACAAGACAAAGTTGTATTATTAAAGTTAATACAATGATAGGAAGACGACATTATAGCAATACTTTAGTGTATTTGATGGCTCAATTTACAACGATACTCTTTAAATCTTCGTTTGCCGTAAAAATGGTAAGAAATAGCCTTTTTTCTGTCTGAAAATTGATATCCAACTCTGGTTTCTTAATGATTGATGGAGCAGAGACAATGAAGAAAATTGTAAAAATTGTAACAGTTTTGTAGAAAGAAAAACTACGATATTTCCTATTTCCTCAGATGAAGGTATAAAGGGTAGCGCTGTGAATTAAAGATGCGTCTCTTTTAAGGTGAATTTTTGTTGGCAGTCCCTTTAAGATAAAAAAGTTTATTTAGATAGTAATACTATTTTGATAAAGGAATTGCGTCTTTGCCTCAAATTCTTTGTAATCTTTGTTGAAAACCTTTGTTATTTCAAACTTTGATATTTTGATCCAACAGAATTCATAGTTTGAAATATCTAAGGTTTATAATATTGGGTTGCAAAGATATTGGGAGTAGAAACCAGAGTTTGTGGGAAAGACTCAATTCCTTTTACCAAAAACTGGTCTGCAGTATGTTTCCTACTTTGGCTCTAATTTCAATCTTGTCTAATCATTTATAATCAAATAACAATAGTCTTTACTTTAAATCAATTTTCATCTATTTAATGTAGATTTTTCGTATGTTATTTTAAGCCCTCATTGTGCTCTGCTTCGAAAGATAGATAGATAGAACATAGAAGATAATGAGAAGGATAGATAGATAGGAAGAAAAATACTATTAAGAGATTAATACAAAATAAAAGATATAGAGATAGATAGAGGTATATATAAAACTGTAATTAATAACAGAAAATTGATAGATAGATAGAAAATAGAAGAACAGTAATTGAGAACAGATTGCAAATAGATATATAGAGGTATATAAAAATTGTAATTAATAACAGATAATAGATAGAAAGATAGAAAATAGAAGAACAGTAATTGAGAACAGATTGCAAATAGATATATAGAGGTATATAAAAATTGTAATTAATAACAGATAATAGATAGAAAGATAGAAAATAGAAGAACAGTAATTGATTACAAATAGATAGAAAGACAGAAAAGTATAGTAATTAAGAACAGATTACAGTATTAAAGTATTTATATATATAAAATAGTAGAGTAGTAATAGAGAACAGATAACAGATAGATAGAAGAACAGTAATTGAGAACCTATTACAGATAGATAGTTAGTTAGATAGAAAATTGAAAAACATTCAAGTACAGATAATGGATAGACAATTAGAAAATAGAAGAACAGTAATTGAGAACCTATTACAGATAGATAGTTAGTTAGATAGAAAATTGAAAAACATTCAAGTACAGATAATGGATAGACAATTAGAAAATAGAAGAAATAGTATTAATGATAGACTTTTAGATTGGAAACGAAGAGATATAAGTAGAAAACTAAAGAAAAATCAAAAACACGAATAATTAATGTAAAAGATTATGTTCAGAATTGGAACTGTTTAGGAGTAAGTCTCTCCCATCACACTTGTTTGGTATTCCATTAGCGCCTGATCCAATCAGGGTTCAGTCATGTGTTTGGTGTCTATTATGATTTAATGGTCTCACGCTCTCAAGCTTAAATTTTTGAGAATTTTGCCAATTACTTCTAAAAAACCAAAGCTAACAACAAGTGCTTTACAGTGCTAAAATGTACACGTAAAGGGCTACAGAAAAGCATAAGTGAGTTAGAGCGGTAAAATCTAAGCTTAGGGCGTTGCGACACTTCAAAATCAACCCTGTCTTTAAAATTGATGAGACTGTTTATAAGCAGGCTGAATCTATGTGATCTCATTATCCAATTAGAGATGAATCCTTATATCGGCGCTATCAGTAAATTGAAATATTTACTTCTACTGAAACTATAGTGTTAGCTCTGAGCCGCTGACCCCTATTACATAAAATACACGGGTTTGTCCGTTCATAATAATGATGAAAAAAGGAAAAAAAGACCAAACAATAAAAAGAATAGTTAGATGAAAATGAGAAGATAGACAGATAGCTAAGTATGATGGAGGATTAAAACAAAAAGCTTAGAGCCAGTATTTGAGAGTTTTAATTTATCATTCTTAGTGTCGAGCTCTTCAGGAAAAAAAAAGTTTTAACAATTCAAGCAAATCTCAGAATATATTTATTTAACTTGTAAACATTAGAAATATCCTTATTGAATTAAAATTGATTATTTTAAGCATCATTTTAAACATTTTAAGTCTTAACGTGTCGAAAACTTATGAAGAAATATTTCTTTAAACCATGCAGCATTTGAAATAGTACTTTATTTTTGGGCCTCATTGGGTTTGATATCGTACGTTTTGTTTGTTTTTCTTGTCATGCTTCAATACCAGTACTCATTAAATATATTTACTAACACTTTAATATTTTTAATATTTTAAAATAGATTTTGAGTTTAGTGTCGTCTTAACAATTTAAAGAAAAGAGTTCAAGGATAAGTATCGAAAATTAAGTATATTTTTTTTGTATCTTTTTATGACAGTAATTTTTCAATGGCCACCAACTAAATCCTTTGCTAACTGTATTCTTTTTGTAAAATGAACCTTTTAACACAACACCAACAAAATAAGAATTAAGGAATTAAGTCTTTCCCACAAATTCTGAATTTCTAATTCCTATATCTTTGCAACCCAATGTTATAGACCACAGATTTTTCAAACTATGAATTATGTTAGAGCAAATAATCTAGGTTTGAAATATTGATGGGTTACAACATCAGGTTGCAAAAATATGGGAATAAGAAAACTTCAGTTTGTGGCAAAGACCCAATTCCTTTTGCAGACGAAACATTTTTCAGGTATGTTACCTCTCTATAAGTGTTAAGTTTTAGGCCATTTTTAATATTGAAAATATTACCTTTTTGTAAAATTAAGTCTGCTGTTTATATACTCTGTGTAATTGTGTTTACGTTTAGTAGTAAGGAGAATATGCAAGTTTACCGAGTTTTTATATTTTTCTATATCTAGCTGCATCATAAACTTTTATCATTTAGTGTCCAGTTACAGGATACATTTGATACAATATACAGGATACACAGGATACATTGGATACATGATACAGGATACACTGGATACACTGGATACAGGATATTAATACATGATACAGGATACACTGGATACATATTACAGGATATATAGAATACTGAAGATTTAATACAGGATAAAATACACGATACACGATGGAGAATATTGGATATAGGATACTGAAGATTTGATACAAGATGCAGGATACAAGTTACAGGACACAGGATACACAATACACGATACGATTACATGATGCATAATACAAAACACACGATACAAGATCCAGATACATGATTCAGAACGCACGATACAATTCCATGATACAGGATACATGAAACAGAACACCGATACAAGATGTAGATACATGATACATGATACAGAACACACGATACAATTCCACGATACAAGATACATGATACATAAAACACGATACATGATACAGAATAGATGATAAAGGTTAGAAGATACATGAAACACGATACACATTATACAGGATACACAGGATACATGACTCGACAAAGTATATTTAAAAAGTTAGAACTAGTTTATTTTTAAAGAAATAAATAAAGCAATGTTTAAGGTTTGCTCACAGACTTAATTGCCATGCGGACAAATATTGCAGTTTGTTCTGTGTACTGCAATTTTTTGTTTGTTTATAAAAATACCGGTTTCTGGAGATCCCATAATCTCCCCTTGTAATTCCTGTTTTTGATGAATCACAGTTTTATTTTCTGAAATTAATTTTGTTTTCTATCTGGGTTCTATCAGCTTTTTAGGTTTCATAAAATCCTTTTTCAGTCTTTTAACAACGTTGTTGATAAAAGCATTAATTCATTTATACATTTACTAAATGACTAAAAAGAATTTAATTGCCTCCATGGCTTTAAAAGTTTTTAAATACAGGGGGACCCATTAAAAAGAAACTACAATCAAAAATAATTAGTTTTCAGGTACCTGGATAAACAATTTGCTTTATATCAACATAGAAATTTGCTTAAATGTCGTCCCTCTTATCCACATTTTACGAGTCCCATTGTAAACAAATTTTCTTTCTTTATCTGTCATATTCTCTTGATTTTTCTACATATGTGAGAAAAATTATCTCTGCTTTGCGTATTTTCTCCTTTTAATTCATCCCAATCTTGGGTTTGTTGAAATTTTATCCACAACCCCAGCTTTAAAAATTGTCGTAAAAAGACGCCACTTTTTCGTATTTACAAATTCTAGAACTTTTCAGCATCATAGGTTACCTCGCTCTGAGTTGAGATAAATGATTGCATCTACGGAATCTCCTTTGATATTCATCTCATTCCTAGCTTTACACGTGTACAGTCCAGAATCCTGAAGTACGTACAACTTTAGAGCTAGTCCTATATTCTGAAATATGTACACGTATACAGTCCTATATTTTGAAATATGTACACGTGTACAGTCCTGAATTCTGAAATATGTACAACTTTAGAGTCCAATATCCTGAAATATGTACACCTGTACAGTCCTGAATCCTAAAATATGTACAACTTTAGATTCCTATATCCTGAAATATGTAAACTTGTATTGTCCTTAATGCTAAAATACGTGCAACTTGAAATATGTACACCTATAGACCACCAAAAAAGTTCATACACAACTTTTCTTAGGACTTTTTTCCGCAGCCTTAAATTACTGAGTTCAAGTTCAGACTTTTTTTTCTAGGTTTTTCTTTTCCTCGGATTTATTTTCTTTATGAGATCTTATTTCCTGAGACTTTTTTTGGCAGACCCCATACTATTTTAGGAAAAAAGTCCCAGCAGTCCAAAACACAGGACTTTATTTCAAGTGACATTTTTTCCAAGGACTTGAGAAAATTCTGACTTTTTTCCAAAGTTTTTATTCCGGATTTTTTTCCAGCAACTTTTTTCCCAGGACTTTCTTACATAGATTCCAAACCTTTGGGTAAAATGGTGTTAATCTACAACTCTTAATCTTGACGGATCAGTAACATTTTGTATAGTACATTTTCGTACAGTAACATTTCGTCTAAGTTCATTTTCGAGTAGTACACTTTACATGTAACATTTGTCTAGGTAACATATAGATAACATTCTGTCTAGGTAACATTTCGTATAGCTAACACCTGGGGTATATGTAAAAAAAATCAAGTATAAGCTATTTAATAAGCTATTGAACATATTTTTTTCTTTTTTACCGAATTATTATCCATCAGATTTCAGGTATTCTTGATCAGGCAGGATGCCACACTGTTCAGTCAGAAATTTAATGTTACGCACAGATCCACTGATAAACAGTCTTTATGATAATTGTTAACAACAATGATAGCATCCTTACCCTGACGAGTATACACACTTAAGTCTTATCAGAGAGACATAGTTTGGTTTGGTTTGGTTGAAAATGTTGTAATTTGGCGGATTTTCTCTGCAAACTATCTACATTCTTTTGTGGATAAATGTATACAAAAAATTACCTTACGAAAAATTACCTACTCAAAATGTTAGCCAGATGAAATGTTATCTAGACAAAGTGTACTATACAAAATCCTACTGACGAAAATGTTCTATACGAAACGTTACTGATCCATCTTGATATCCACTCTGAAAACTTTTAAATTTGAGAGTATCACTTCAAGGATATCTTAGAGGGATTAAATAGATCCGTAGATCTGAACAACCTTAGGATAAGTAGTTTTAATCTATATTTTACCTGATTTGTATAATTATAGATTGTGAGAACAGATTTAGTTTTGTAGTCTGTAGAGTGGAAATCCTCTTTTATAAACCTACATTATCAATAATCAACAAATTACTTGGTTTAAGGTGGGCTTAAGTCTATAAAGATAGAGATAATCTTTCTTAAAAATTTAAAATTCTTTATAGTAGTAAGATATTCTTAAAATGTATATTTTGTTTGACCAAAAGATCGGCCATGAAAAGGCCAATTTAAAAAACGAACTCCGGAATTTTTTATTAATGGTCATCATTTAATATAAATCAATTAAGGTGCTGTAGACGTCATTTCAAGTGATCCTTCCATTTGTAAAATTGCATGTTCAATTCACAACAGTTTCCTTTAAATATAACTATTCCCTTGTAGTAGAGAGTTTTGACTGCTTCAAAAAAGGTGTATTGTTTAAACAGGAACTCCTTTAAACCTTTGAATGGCCAAGAGTGACTAAATTATTCCTATTTCTCCAGAAACACTGGTTGGGGAGCACATTTATATTTTAAAAACATTAACATTCACTTTCATACAGTGAAACCCTTAATAAAGAATACATCGAAAGAATTCATCAAATGTCGTATTCTTCACTTTCTGATAATGGAATGTTGCAGATATTTAGTTTTTTAATCAAATGATTATATGGAACTCTTTAAAACTGTTCCCGCATATTCATGGCTATTTATTTATTTTCGCAAATACTGAAATTTACGTAATAAAGTATAAAACTCATTGAAAAATTGTCAAGACGACATTTGATCAATTCTTCCGATGTATTCGTTATTAAGGGGTTAACTGTAGGTCACTTGAAATAACACAGTCTTTTTCATAAATTATTTATCAAAACCTACAAATTAATTAATTATTTCAGAAAAATCAAAAATATCTGAGATTGTGTGACTAAAACTTTATCTTTATCGACCTGCAATTAAAATTTCAATTTTCACAACTAATATTTCCCGTTGTAGGGTTATAAAGTTACTTTATCGCCCTACAACATAAATAGATATTACCTTCCCCCTGTTTCAATCGGATCATAAGGAGGATCCCGTTTTACCCAGGATATCTCAGCTCGGGGAAAGGATTCTATTTCACACTCTAATCCAATAGTTTTCCCTAGAACACCTCGGATATGCTGGTTCGGTACTGTAACAATAGGCCTAAAATAGAAAATACATTTTTATATTCTCTCCCGGCTGGAGACCATTTTAAACTACAGGGAGAACATTTTAAACTACAGGGAGAACATTTTAAACTACAGGGAGAACATTTTAAACTACAGGGAGACTTTAATTTGTACAAACAAATATTTTTTTTTACTTTTTTTAAATCAAAAAATTTGTTTGCTCTAAATTTTAATATTTGTCAACCAAAAACTCTACACAAACTGATGTAGTTTTGTGTAAAAACAATGCAAATTCTAGTTTTGTATTCACCCTGTATACTATAAAAGAAACTATTAGGAAAAATATTCCACTTTAAGCAGAGATGTGCATTTGATAGTAAAGAGTTGAACAATACGTTTATTACATTATTTGGTTACTCAGCACTTTTCAAACACTCAGACCGTTGAAAACTGAAAAATCATGATATTTAATTTTTTTAGCGGAGAACATTGAAAAATTCTTTTAAATCTACATTAAAATCCCTCTGATCTCAACCTGCCACAGATCACCTGACAATCCCTTTCCTTCCAATTAACTCCCTACCTATCCAAAAACATATCTTGATATTCAGTATCGTTAATTAACTTCGGGCCAACCACTTAAAACAACCAACCCTGGTTAGGCGGGTCCAAACTGCATAGCAAATTGTGATTGTGCTTGTTTGTAATACCTCATGCTTTGTATGAATAAAATCTCTTAAACCAGTTTACATTTTTTTTGAGTAGGTTCTTCTGAAAGACACAGAACGGTGGACTAAAAATACGATATTTAAGTAATCTTGACTGTATTTACTGTAGCTTACACATTAATTTGTTAAGTAATAAGGGTCTCTTAACACTAATAAAGTCAATTGTTTCATGTTCTAAAAACTATAACTTGAGTCTAACGATTCCAGAGCTAACTCCTTAAGTCGACTCCAAGAGCTGAGAGCTGTAGATCGTGTGACACAAGCTGTTGTCAGGTGATTCAGAAGTTGGGTCTAAGATTGAGCCTTATACCTAAGTCTAAGGAATTAAGACTCGAGCCGATGCTTTTAGATAGCGGGCTTTGATCTACCAGATTTTGTAGTTTGAAATATCAAAAGTCTACGAAAAAGATAAAGGGAATTAGAAAATCAGAGTTTGGTGCAAAAACAATTGTTCCTCCTGTTTAACCTGAATTTGACATCTAGTTGTATTCTTCTGCTGACTGCTGGAGGATGTCCATTACTAGCTATACATAGATACCCACCAGCCATTTCACGGGTTATCTAGACAACAATTATTATATTTATATCACTAAGTTGGGAACCCAGCGTTGCCCCAGGTACCCATAGTTACTCCCGCCGTTTACCCGCTCTTCGTCGTAAATTACGATTGTAGTTTTTTTTTCCTACAGAAGTCAACCCACTCAACTTAGAATCTCAAAACCAAGCTAAGAACATTCCCGTGGTTCTCCCGAATTCCCAATCAAAATTTCCTAAGTTATGATCGAACATCCAAAAAATATATGAACTCCTAGTTAAAAATAAACAGCTGTATCTACTCTTTAATACAGTAAGCAGACCTTTTTAAATAAACTATATAAAAGAGAATTTTAATCATGGTCTGTATAACCGAAAAATGTAAATTCAATATTTTTCTTGTTTGTTTTTTGCTTTGCAAATTTATTAAAAAGATACAGATGAAGTTTTTGGAATGGATACAGTAAGTTTTGCTTGATCTAATGTTAGATAAAGAGCACCTTAAAAATCATTCTTAACTTTGTCCATTCTCTGCACGCTGGACAGAACTAGATAGACCCTTTAAACGGATATATGTTCCATCAATGAGATTTATAAATACATTTTTTTTAATATTTACTAACGTTTTCTTTTTTTCCCCATACTTAATGTACAGTGGGAACCAGAAATAAATAGTCCTAATGAACGCAGGAATTGTACAATTAACAGTATATTAAACACTGTACACAGCTTAATAAGGAATTTACAGACCACAAGTATAACTATTTGGTTATTATCAAGGATTACTAATATGTCGTCATTCTATTTCCCAATTTTCTGGTTCTCACTGTTTACATTTTATAAACCTTTTGTAGATGAAGATCAGCTCCCTCTACCCTCACAGCTCTTTGTTTAGTTCCATCCTTCTTGTTCAGAGTTGTAATTTTCTCCCTGGTATTCTCCCTTTGCCAGAATACCATTGGAGCAGGTTCTCCCCTTGCCTCACATTCTAGTCTAGCTACACCACCCTCGATAACAGTGCTCGGACCCCTGGATACAATTTAGAAATATATATTTAGTAGAACCCCTAAAGAGACTATTTAGAAATATGTATTTAGTAGAACCCCTAAAGGGACTATTTATAAATATATATTTAGTAGAACCCCTAAAGGGACTATTTATAAATATATATTTAGTAGAACCCCTAAAGGGACTATTTAGAAATATATATTTAGTAGAACCCCTAAAGGGACTATTTAGAAATATATATTTAGTAGAACGCTTAAAGGGACTATTTAGAAATATATATTTAGTAGAACCCCTAAAAGGACCATTTAAAAATATGTTTTTAGTAGAAACCCTAAAGGGACTATTTAGAAATATATATTTAGTAGAACCACTAAAGGGACTATTTAGAAATATATATTTAGTAGAACCCCTAAAAGGACCATTTAGAAATATATATATTTAGTAGAACTCCTTAAGGGACTATTTAGAAATATATATTTAGTAGAACTCCTAAAGGGACTATTTAGAAATATATCTTTAGTAAAACCACTAAAGGGACTATTTAGAAATATATATTTAGTAGAACTCCTAAAGGGACTATTTAGAAATATATATTTAGTAAAACTACTAAAGGGACTATTTAGAAATATATATTTAGTAAAACCCCTAAAGGGACTATTTAGAAATATATATTTAGTAGAACCCCTAAAGGGACTATTTAGAAATATATATTTAGTAGAACTCCTAAAGGGACTATTTAGAAATATATATTTAGTAGAACCCCTAAAGGGACAAGGTAAGCGTAAGTTCTAAGCTTTGAATTAGATTTATTTCTAATTTATGCAAAAGTGACCTTAACACAGTTCTTGGCAGAAATTTATTTTCCATTGCAAATGATTGTTCTGTAAATCTTTCTGATCTTAGTAAAATGTTAGTTAAGAAACAAATGAAACATTTTGATGTCCCATAGGACCAGGCATGGAAAGAACTTTTAAATACAAGAACGAATAATTTATATGTTCAAGGATTGGATGATTACGTAATAACTGAAATGATAAATATGCTATGTAATGAGTAATGATCAATGTCGCCTATTTGTACATTATTTTGTATTTTTCTTTTGTAAAAAAATAATAATTTCAAGGGACTCCATTTCACAGAAACCACAATTCAAAATGTTCAGTTTTCCAAATTATGAACATTAATATCTAATTTATATTTGTTCAGACAAAGTTTTTAAGGGTATTGTTGTGAATCGAGCTTTGCTTTGCCCCTTAAAACTACAGATAAAATATAATAATAATAAAATAATAATACAGGATATAAATAAGAGCACAGAGATCGAAACTTTTGAACATCGTTAATCTTGAACATTTGATCTCGATATCCAATATGGGCAATTTTACTTTAAAGGAAGTGTTAGCGAAAAATTAAATGGGATACAGGCTTACGGCGAAAAATAGGCGCTTTTGATCGCTACTAATCTTTTGATTGCAACATTCAACATTTAGATAGATAGAAGTTAGATTAGTAGCGATCAAAAGCGCTTATTTTTCGCCGAAAGCCTAACCCTCTTTCATTTTCAGAGAACGCTTCCTTTAAGAATCAATGTTTATTCTCTTTGTTTTAATTAACGCTTCAGTGTATAACTACACAGCAGAATATATCTCCAGATTAACAAAATATTGAGATCAAGTATTTTATAAGCATTTGATTCCTAATATCAGATTCACTGAAACCATCACGAAATTAAAAACATTTTTTTTCCTACTAAATTGTGATAATTAAAATATTAACCCAGGAACAATATGAAATTTTTTTAAAATTACCAATTCTTTGATTAAACTTACAAAAAAACATGATAAATTTTTTTTTTGATTTTTTACTAAAATCAAAAATCGGAGGGAGGTCGATTTTTAATTTTTTCAAAACATGTCGATATTTTGTCTAAAGTTGCGCCTCTAATCACTGAATAATGCCAATGCCTGGTCGTTGCTTGCACTATAGTGAATTATTATTTAAAATGTCATTTTCAAACTATAAATAACAAAAAAGAAAAAGAAAAAATTATAGAAAAATTTGTGACTTGCCAATTCCATCAATCTATAAATATATTCATGCTGTCCAGTCTTAATTTATTAATCTACATATTCATGTTTATACCTGATATCAACAATATCTGGGGTTATCACTACATCTAGATATCCCATCTTGAACAGCATTGGATCTGTATTAAGCTGACACATATATGGTCCAGTATCTTCCAACTGTGCTTCAGCAATGTGTAAACTCCATTTACGTCGACTCTCATCATGGGATACGGACACTCTGAAGAATAAAACTGGATGTTGGAACAATTCATTGGAAGACATTTTATAGACAGGACATTTCAAAGATAAGACATTTCATAAATAGGACTTTTAATAGATAGGGCATTTCTTAGATAAGGCTTTTTATAGACATTTCAAAAACAATGTTATTTCTACAATAGAAAAATAAATGCTTTCTTTGAAATATCCTAACTATGATATGTCCTATCCTTCATCAAGGAAATGTCCTATAAATGAATTTTCTGATCTATAAAGTGTCCATTTATGAAATAAATCTTTTTAATATTCCACCTCAAATTAAAAAAAAATTGACATAACCAATTATGCACTGTACAAATCATTTTTTGCATCGGACATTGTATAATGAAAACGATGAAGAAAGCTATAAAAATAGTATATCTTCTTCAGGACATTCATTTTTGATATGATTTCATAAATAATGTACCATGTGTTCCAATTACCTGTTATCATGTGTTATAACATGTGTTCCAATTACCAGTTATTATGTATTATAACATGTGTACCAATTACCTGTTATTATGTGTTACAACATGAGTTCCAATAACGTGTTATTATGTGTTACAACATGAGTTCCAATTACTTGTTATTATTTTTTATAACATGTGTACCAATTACCTGTTATTATGTGTTATAACATGTGTTCCAATTACCTGTTATTATGTGTTATAACATGTGTTCCAATTACCTGTTATTATGTGTTATAACATGTGTTCCAATTACCTGTTATTATGTGTTATAACATGTGTTCCAATTACCTGTTATTATGTGTTATAACATGTGTTCCAATTACCTGTTATTATGTGTTATAACATGTGTACCAATTACCTCTTATTATGTGTTGTAACATGTGTTCCACTTACCTGTTATTATGTGTTATAACATGTGTTCCACTTACGTGTTATTATGTGTTATAACATGTGTTCCAATTACTTGTTATTATGTGTTATAACGTGTGTTCCAATTACCTACTATTATGTATTATAGCATGTGTTCCACTTACCTGTTATTATGTGTTATAACATGTGTTCCAATTACCTGAATTGCTTTAGTGTTCGCCTTAACCCAGCCAACTCTGTATCCCTATATATAGATATATATATGTAGATAACCAAGCTAAGAACATTCCGTGGTTCTCCCGAGTTCAAATTTGAGAGAAATCAGTCAAGGGGTTTATGAGTTATGATCGAACATACATAGATTATTTTCAAGGCAGAGGACTTAATTAAACCCAGGAGTTATCAAATTCAAAGAGATTCAATCTCATTCTTTTGTGGGTAACCTAAATACAGAATTGCAAAAGGAGATGTAAAATAACCTAAACCTAAATATGTATTTGTTTAAAACAGAAGTTTGGAGATCAGGAGAAATCAGGAATAAAAAATGGTTCGTAATAGATAAAATAATAGAATAATAATATTGAATTAATTTATTCAAAAAAAAACTATTTATATTCCAATAAAAAACTTACATGTATATCTGACACTGTGCATGTAAACGTAGCATCCCGTCCTACTTCTACAGTTATATTCCTTATTTCATCCACAAACCTTGGTTTCATTCCTTCACCTAGATATTAATATTCATCCCTTGGTTTCATCCTACACATAGATATTAATATTCATCCCTTGGTTTCATCCCTACACATAGATATTAATATTCATCCCTTGGTTTCATCCCTACATATAGATATTAATATTCATCCTTTGGTTTAATCACTTTTCCTACACATAGATATTAATATTCATCCCTTGGTTTCATCCCTACACATAGATATTAATATTCATCCCTTGGTTTCATCCCTACATATAGATATTAATATTCATCCTTTGGTTTAATCACTTTTCTAGATATCAATATTTATCACTTGGTTTCATCCATTTATCTATATATCAATGTTCATCCCTTGGATTCATCTCTTCATATAGACATCAATGATCATCCCTTGGTTTCATCCATTTATCTAGATATCAATATTCATCCCTTGGATTCATCTCTTCATATAGATATCAATGATCATCCCTTGGTTTCATCCCTTCAATAAGATGTTAATGATCATCCCTTGGTTTCATCCCTTCACCTAGATATCAATATTCATCCCTTGGATTCATCTCTTCCTATAGATATCAATGATCATCCCTTGGTTTCATCCCTTCACCTAGATATTAATATTCATCCCTTAATTCATCTCTACACAAACAATGCACATCATTCATAATTTTTAGTTTAGTTGAATAATTTTGAAGACTTAGATACGAACGTCTTTATATATTTCTATATGTAAACTTACATATATATGTAATGTATATTATATATATATATATGTAATGTATATTATATATATATATATGTAATGTATATTATATATATATATATATGTAATGTATATTATATATATATATGTAATGTATATTATATATATATGTAATGTATATTATATATATATATATGTAATGTATATTATATATATATATATATGTAATGTATATTATATAAACAAGCTCTACTCAGACGAACGTCTTTATATATTTCTATATGTAAACTTACATATATATGTAATGTATATTATATATATATATATGTAATGTATATTATATATATATATATATGTAATGTATATTATATAAACAAGCTCTACTCAGGAAAATAAAACGCTTTATTTACTTGGCTTCATGTTTATTCCAAAAGTAGATAAATTATCATAACTGCAAATTTTATTCAATATGTTTACCCATAAAATCCATTCAAGACAAACCTTTTATATCATGAAAAATACAATTTCATTTATCCTGTATAGTACAGAATACAGAGTAGAAGAAGAACAAACATATATTTGTGATAAAAACACAGAAGAATAGTAGTTGCACGACTCATTAAGTTTTTAAAAAGGAAAGTATACACAAATTAAAACACAGATTAGAGAGAACAGTACAAACAGATTGGAGAGAATAGTACACAGATTAAAGATAACAGTACACACAATTATAGACAACAGTACACAGGTTAGAGAGAACAGTACAGAGAGTAGAAAGAACAGTACACACAGATTAGAGAGATTAGTACACAGATTAAAGATAACATACACAGATAGGGATGTTAACGTTTTCATTTTTCAGAAAAACGATCGTTTCGTTATGAAAACGACGACGAAAAATCGAAAACGAAACGATCGTTTTTCAAAACGATCCTTTTCCAAAACGATCGTTTTTATAAAATTCGTCGTTTCGTTAACGATCGTTAACTACGAACCTTCGTTAACGATCGTTAACGACGACCCTTCGTTAACGATCGTTAACGTCGACCCCTTCGTTAACGATCGTTAACTAAGAAAGGAAACCGAACTGAAGGGCATCTGTACTTATCATTAAGTATTTTTTAAGAAAATATCAAGGAGATTTAACTCCCCCACAACTGTTAAACTTCATGTAAGAGGACATTCAACCGTTTTGATAAATTTCGTCGTTTCTTTAACGATCGTTAACCACGACCCTTCGTTAACGATCGTTAACATAATTGTCAATAGAATTAAAAAAAACAATCGTATATAAAACGGTCGCAAATCGTTTTAACAAAAACGATAGTTTTCAAGAACGATCGCTATTCGTTTTCTAAAAGTTCAAAACGAGTGGGTCGTTTTTAAAAAGATCGTTTTTTCCGAAAACGAAACGATCGTTTTTGAAAACGAAACAAAAAACGATTAACAACCCTATACACAGAGTAGAGAAAACAGTACACAGATTACATAGATCAGTACACAGATTAGAGAGATCAGTACACAGATTAGAGAGATCAGTACACAGATTAGAGAGATAAGTACACATATTAGAGAGAACAGTACACAGATTAGAGAGAACAGTACACACAGGTTTGAGAGAAAAGTACACAGATCAGATTAGAGATAACAGTACACATATTAGAGAGAACAGTACACAGATTAGAGAGAACAGTACACACAGGTTTGAGAGAAAAGTACACAGATTAGGGGAACAGTACACAGATTAAATGGATCACTACACACAGATTTGAGAGAACTGTGCACAGATGAGAGAGAACAGCACACACAGATTAGAGAGAAAAGTACACAGATTAGATGGAACAGTACACATAGATTAGAGAGAACAATATATACAGATTAGAGAGAACAATATATACAGATTAGAGAGAACAGTACACAGATTCAACAGAACAGTACACAGATTAGAGAGAACAGTACTCAGATTTAGAGAACACTATATACAGATTAGAGAGAACAGTACACAGATTAGAGAGAACAATATATACAGATTAGAGAGAACAGTATATTTACAGATTAGAGAGAACAATATATATAGATTAGAGAGAACAATATATTTACAGATTAGAGAGAACAATATATACAGATTAGAAAAAAACAATACATACAGATAAGAGAAAATAATACACGGATTAGAGAGAACAATATATATATATATATATATAGATTAAGNTCCGAACTTTAAATAAAAAGCAAAAAAGTAAAAAAGAACCAGTTTTAATCTTAAAGCTTTTTAGGCCATAATATTTTATATTTTATAATTCTTCTTTATAAAACAAAAATCCCCCCTAACCTCCACACACTGGGATAATTACTAACTCCCTGATATCTACGTGGGATAATGATTATAGAACAGTAGGTTAATATATTTATCTGAAATATACGTATGTGTATATATTTAATGTTTTGTGAACTTTAAGTGAGAAACAGAAAACAGTGGAATTATCGTCTTCTTCTGTTTGGTTTTAAATATGACATGTCGCCAAGGACATGAAATTACCAACTTAACTTTTTCTAAAAAATTGGACTTTTGGACAAAAAGGAAGAACACAGACGGAATATATTCCATAGTTTTCTGCTTCTCACTGTATTAAGAGGAATGTTTAGAAATGTGTATTTGTAAATAGGTTTCTTGGAGTTCTAAATCATCTATTTAGATATTTCAATTTAATACGATCCATGGTTTTAATCAGGATTTTTTAGAGTCACAGAGATTGGATTTAATGAACATCGAGAAGTAATCCAAATATGTCTTCTTAGTTGTTCTACTTCTTGATCTTGATTTAATCCTACTTCTGGCTATTTTTGTCAAGATATTTGATGCATTTAACAACAACTTTTTATGATTTAATTTGTCTAACCTTTTGTAATAAAGACAAGAAAAAGAAGAAGCGGAGTCAAGGTCGTCTTCATTCTGATTCCCCAGTATAGTTTAATACAAATCCAAACCCAGGAACACCTGGAAATAAAGACAACTTTTACGTTTTAGAGTGACATAAATGATGCACAACAATAGGTACCTATACATAAATTATATATGTATCTATATAATAAAACAAAACATTTGTATATATATATATATGTTGCCTGTAGCCGGCCAAACGACTGGACCGATTGGGGTGAATTTTTTGTGGACACTCAGGGGTGGCAGGGGGGTGTTAAAGGCTAAAAAATTCGATTTTTTTCCCCAAAATTTGTTACTTATTTAAAAAAAAAATTACCATGGGGAACCGGCGGCCCTTCAGCTAGTAATATAGATAATGTTATATTATTCTTTTTTTAACTTAAATTTAATAAATAATTAGGTAACTCTATAGCTCTCAGAACAGGACATAAATCGAAGAGATATTTAAACTATCGCTACATTTTGTAATTTAAATTACTTTAAAAGTCCCTTAGAATTATAATACAAATAATAATAATACGTAGAGGAGTAGAAGGATTTATCGTTCAAATGTTCTAATCCCTAAATCTTTGCTATTTGATCTAACAGAATTCAAAGTATTGAATATCAAACATTGGGTTGCAAATATATAAGGATTTGAAAATCAGAGTTTGTGGTAAGAACTCAGTTCTTTTACCCAGAATCAGATACTTACAGTACAGTACAGTACAGTACTGTACAGTACAGTACAGTACAGTTCTTTTACCCAGAATCAGATACTTACAGTACAGTACAGTACAGTACAGTACTGTACAGTACAGTACAGTACAGTTCTTTTACCCAGAATCAGATACTGTACAGTACAGTTCTTTTACCCAGAATCAGATACTTACAGTACAGTACAGTACAGTACTGTACAGTACAGTACAGTACAGTACAGTACAGTACAGTACAGTACAGTACAGTACAGTACAGTACAGTACAGTACAGTAAAGTACAGTACTGTACAGTACAGTACAGTACAGTACAGTACAGTACTGTACTGTACAGTACAGTACAGTTCTTTTACCCAGAATCAGATACTTACGTCAATGTTTGTACAAGGTATATATATATATATATTCATCAGGGGGTAAAGAATAGAAGGGAGATATAACTGATGCGGTTCGCCTTATCATATAATTATACATGCTTTGCAGATGGGTACTCCATTTGAATAAGAAATATTTTTAAAATTACCGCGTATACAATAACCTATTCTAAATATTTCTTATACAAATGAAGTACCGTCTGCAAAACATGTATCACATAGAGTAATAAAACTCCATGATGTATAATCATATGGTAGGGCGAACCGCGTCAGTTATATCTCCCTTCTATTCTTTACTCCCTGCTATTCCTCTAGCTAAACAAGACTAATAGGGTTGAAAATATTTGCCGTGTACAGTACGGTGTAGGGTTTATTGGGCTCACCCCACTCTAAATATTGCATTATCCGAGTCGGTACAATATGTACTGGATATGCATTCAGTCATTATCGTCCAGTCTGAACTACCCAGTGTAGAGTCGACCCAGCACATTTTATGCAACAAATGTAGACTGGCAAGATCAATACATTGGAACAATTTGTGTTGTAACAAATGATATTCACCAACCTATACATGGAGCCGAATTTTATCATGAAATCAAAAAGAAACTGATCAATTACTCGACACAAACTCTACTTTTCTAATCTCTATACATTCAAATTGAAGTTCTATTTAAATCTTTCATAATTTGAACTATAGTCACTTAAAAGAGGAAAAATTATAAACTGATCCAGTACAATTTTGATGAAATTTTTTTGTTTAGAATAAGTCTACATTAAAAACGAAACCTCTTTTTGAAGAGCTCAAAGCAAATAAATTATGTGTACAGGATTGGGCTTTTTATGATTCAGGTCAGCAATATATATCTTCAATATTTTCTATATCAAAGATCAAACTCTGGTTTACCCCGGAGTAAGGTGGGAGGAGAGAAGAGATTCTCCGATGGTTAATCCTCAAGTAATTGGCGGCAGTTTCTCCCAGGTAAACTCTTCTCTCATTGGTCCAAAAGAAAACAAAGTAGCGGCAAAGAATTGCAAATATTTTTGCAATGAGCTGGAATTTGAAGATTATTAGCAGGAACATGTGAATGGTCTAGTTTTTACGAGGATTTTCAGATTGCAATATTGAACCCGGGGCCGGACCCAGTGAGATAACCACGGTTACTATTCATGAGTCCAGAGCTAGGTAAAACAAGGGTATTTTGTTAAATATAAATAACCATTACTGGATGAAACTAAGATAATTTTCAAGCAAATCTTGAGCTCTTACAAGAACTGTGTAGAATGATAAACAACATAATTGAATTACACGACACAACTTTTTTCTTGGAGGGATGGGGGGGGGGAGGGGCATTAATGACGTATTTCATATAAAGATGTAATTTTAATTCCTGTCTAATTCGCAAATTTTTTACAGCATTTTCTGAACAAATATATAAAAAGGTAAGATCATCTTAAAATCGTTGAGTCCATGATAAGTTCATCTTTAAAACTACTTCAGCAAAAAATTGTCTCTTAAAATATGTAAATTTTTAGTAAATATACACATAATGAAAAATAGTTTAAGAACAACACTTTGTTTACTTCAATGCAAAAATAGTTTAGCAGAGTTAACTAATGCATTTTAAACTGTATAAACTGTAAGCCACGTTTTGCTGGTAAAATTCTATTATTGAAATAAGTTTTGTACCATATACATATTATTAATCATTACAAGTCTTTTAGAGCACTTCGCGCCCTATTTTCTATCAAAACATTTAGCTTTTAAATGTTGCTTTTTGATAATTATGCAATAAACAAAGAGAATAGAATATATATTAGAGGGGAATTTACCAGAAAAAGTGTAAAACGGCCATTTTGTTGTACTGTTTCCATTCTGCAGCTGTACCTCACATATTTATACTATATAACCTTTTGGGCCCTGGAATATCATTTATAGAAAATCTAAAATTAATGTTAAAAGAAAACTAAATTATGAAATAGACTGGTTTCATAATTGACCAATGATCATTTTACATAGACTCTATGCCTTTCACTTTACAAACGATGATTTTTTTTCACCTAAATCATTATAAAGTTTATTTAACAGCTTTAAAAAATTCGAAATTGAAATGAATAGTCTAGGGAACATACTGTATTAATGTTCTCTACTGCATATAATTTGTGAACATTTACATGATTTGTACACTTTGAACTCCCTTTCAGGCTGAAAGGGACTGAAAAAATTCATACCGAAAATTCCCCTCTAATATATATTCTATTCTCTATGGCAATAAACAAATATTTTCGCTGATTTTTTTTGTTTAGATAGATGCAGTTTATAAAATAGAAAATGTCGACATTTCTTTGAAATTAGAAAAATCCATAAACCTTCTCTGGGGTTATATAAGTTTCTCCAAAAAAGTGGGCCCGATTGTTTCAGCCGTTTTGTCACCAGTCACCAGAACTCCAACCAATGGCAGTGCAGTATTATTGTCACGTGTCTGTATCACGTGACCAGTATACTGCACTGCCATTGCAGGGAGTTCTGGTCACGTGATACTGACGTATATCTTACGTATATACGTTTTGGTATAATTTTGACACAGTTTTATATCGATTTCTCGAGACAGGAACATCAGATAGATGTCTTATAGGTATCGTTCAACACCTGCAAGATTCTCAGGTTTCAGCCAATACCCCATTTAATTTTTCCTTTACCGTCTCTTTCAGATAAAAACTAGAAGAACTTATTCATGTCAATCAACGTACACAAACGCTAAATGAATACCTGAGGTTTAATTTTGGCGTTGATTGCTTGAATGCATATAATGTTATTTAATTGAGATTATAAAACCAGAATCTGTTTGCTTTGAGAGAAATAAAACTGTTTGATAGTTCGTATATAAACCTTAACCTTGGAAATTTTATCTAATTTTTACTTTAATCCTGTGCATGTTCTAAACCGTTAACTTAATCCTTCACTTTTAAATAACATTTTACATAAAAATCCTTTTTTAATCCTTTGATTTAGGCCTTTCATTAAACCTTACAACTATTGGCTCTGGACTGTAAATAAATTATTCTTTAAAACCTTTAATCTTTAAAACCTTTAATCTTTAAAACCTTTTGATCTTTAAAACCTTTAATCTTTAAAACCTTTAATCTTGAAAACCTTTTGATCTTTAAAACCTGTAATCTTTAAAACCTTTAATCATTAAAACCCATAGAGAATAGAATATATATTAGCGGGGAATTTAAAGAATCTCTCGGTATGAATTTTTTCAGTCCCTTTCAGCCTGAAAGGGAGTTCAAAGTGTACAAATCATGTAAATGATCACAAATTATATGCAGTAGAGTAATTTAATACAGTATGTTCCCTAGACTATTAATTTCAATTTCGAATTTTTTAAAGCTGTTAAATAAACTTTATAATGTATTAGGTGAATAAAAAACATCATTTGATTCATAGTTATATAACGGAAAATCATTGTTTGTAAAGTGAAAGGCTTAGAGTCTATGTGAAATGATCATTGGTCAATTTTGAAACCAGCCTATTTCATAATTTGGTTTTCTTTTAACATTAATTTTAGATTTTCTATAAAATGATATTCCAGGGCCCAAAAGGTTATATAGCATAAATATGTGAAGTACACCTGCAGTATGGAAACAGTACAACAAAATGGCCGTTTTACACTTTTTTCTAGTAAATTCCCCTCTAATATATATTCTATTCTCTTTGTTAAAACCTTTAATTTTTTAAAACCTTTCTTCCTTAAAACGTTTTATATCAATGAAACCTTCATAATAAAGCTTAATATTTTACTTTAATTCTTTGTTTTATTAAATACATTCCGAACTTTAAATAAAAAGCAAAAAAGTAAAAAAGAACCAGTTTTAATCTTAATTTTTTTCTTTAAATTTGAAAGGACAGTAAAATGTCACAAAGGACCACAAAGTTGTACAAAGAATCACGCAAAACTTTAAGTGTTATACTTTCTTTGTATTTCTTTATGGAGAGGGGGGGGGGGCATACTTAAAGACATACAGAAACAAAATTGAATTACCTGCATACTATTCAGTAGACAAGGCATAATATAAAAGTTTACATCACAATAAATTTTGGTTGGTAATAAAAACTTTAGTTTTATATTTGGCCGGCTAGCAACATTCCTAAACTGTTTCTCATCAATTTTAAATCTCGACAAGATGTAAAAAACTGAAAAATTCTAATTCTTCTCCAGAATTTCCCGGGATAAAAATAGGATCGGACGATGAGTTTAAAATCGTCTTTAATCCGGCGAAAAAAATATTTGTTTAATAACCAGATCAAATATCATAAGTTTATTAAAATGTCGTCTTCCAATTTCACACTATTATGGTTCTCAAATTGTACACTTGATGAGAATAAGAAATTATCAAATATTACCAAACTTTTTAAAAGGAACTGATACTCTTTTTTAGACCATATATCTTATCTGATAAGAATAAAAACAATATACACTGGTTACGCGGGTCCAAACTGCATAGTAAATTGTGATTCATCATTTGTAATATCTCATGCTTTGTATTTTAATAAAACTATGAAAAAATATGAAATATGAAAAGATCTAAGAAGATTTTGATGATGTCCCTCGATCAGCATGCCTGAATATTGACATCTGCCAATGCCTAAAGGGACAGACCGGCTATGTAAGGTAGTTAAACTGAGTATGCAATATTGCGGAAAATAAGAACAATATAATGATGAAAAAGGAACTAATTAATTTTAACTTCGATTTAATGACAAATTTCTGACTATATTTTTCATCGTCGGTTTTTAATAAAAAAAAAGATTCTGAAAACGTACCCACACAAATTCATGATTTTGAACGTCGACTTTGCGCTCAAGCTCAGTAATTATACTTCTTGGAAACGTTTTATATGTCTCAAATGAATCCTAAAGAATTGTTCCACAAAACTGCATACTCATTTTAACTACCTTACATAGCCGGTCTGTCCCTTTAATCATCTTTAAAAATACAAACATCTCAAAGTTAAAAAATTTATTCAAGTTTCAACATTCAACATAACAACTTCATGGTTTACCATCTGGCGTATCCATATCCATAAGCTCTGGGGTATCCATATCCGTAGGCATAAGCACTGGGATATCCATATCCATAAGCACTGGGGTATCCATATCCATAAGCAGAGTAATAAGCATCAGCCTCGGGTTCAGCATCAGCGGACCTCTTGCCTCTAAGTCCCTGGGGAGATCTGGCCTCGAAGGAGGTAGCGTGACCGTATCCATAGGGAGCATATCCATATCCAGCATAAGCATAGGGAGCATAGGCATAGGGAGCATATCCGTAGTATCCATACAGAGCAGATGCATCAGCATCAGCATCAGCATCAGCAGACCTCTTACCCCTGCATCCGAAGCAGGTGGAGGAGGAGTAGGGGGTGGAGACTCCTGGCCAGTTAGGATAGGAGTTGTACAGGGCGGGGACATATCCGTAGGCGGCGTAGTGAGGATCAGCATCAGCTACAGGGGAGGCCAGGGCAGTTGCCACAGAAGCACAGATAACCTAGAGAACAGGAATATATTATTCATATAAAACAGGAATAAATTAAACATCTGAAACAGGAATATATTATTTATAGAAAACAGGAATTCAGTATTCATAGAGAACAGGAATATATTATTTGTAGAGACCTGGAATATGTTCATAGGGAACAGGAATTTATTATTCATAAAGAACAGGAATATATTATTCATAGAGAACAGGAATAAATTATTCATAGAGAACAGGAATATATTATTCATAGAGAAAAGGAATATATTATTTATAGAGAACAGTAATATAGTATTCATAGAGAACAGGAATATGTTCAAAGGGAACAGGAATATAATATTCATAGAGAACAGAAATATATAATTCATAGAGAACAGGAATATATTATTCATAGAAAACAGGAATATACATATTATTTATAGAGAACAGGAATATACTATTCATAGAAAATAGGAATATGTTATTCATAGAGACCAGGAATTTTGATGGGAACAGGAAAATGTTCATGGGAAAATACTGTTTAGATTGAAATAATGTAAAAGATAGAAATAATGTTAAATAAACTAAATCTTACCAGAAGTTTATACATGTTGATGAAGTTTTGAAGTATTGAACACCGCCCACTGTAAATTCAGAGCTGCAGTAACTATCCAACCTCAATCACAGGCTTTTATACCAAAACCATCAGCCATTTTTAGTGCTTAGCATTGTCAGGCTTACAGGCGTCTGGGGAAACTATTTTTAAAAACTTAATTAGACTATTTCAACCCTGTCAAGTATTTTATCATATTGGATTTGATTTCCCTCAATGCCACCATAATATCTAAATTGTAAACCTGTAAGCCCGGGAGAGCGCATCTCCAAGTGCAAAACTATATTCAAAACGCGCATTGCTAAGCCTGGCTTGAGGATCAAGCCAGACAATGGACACAAAGTAACAAAAGCAAGAACTTGAAATTTCTTACACCTAAAGGTTACCTAACCTAACATTTCGTACCTTATTTATGTTGTCCAACTTATATTATTACTCTCTTTTTTTGTAAATATAGATTTGTTATCCAAGTATTAACGTACAGAATCATTATGTTATGAACTGATATTAGACTTGTCTAATTACTGAATCATTAGTTTTTGCATGGAGCGAACTGCAAGGCTAACCCCCCCCCCCCCTATGGGGGGGGGGGGGGATCTAATACAAAGTTATTATTTTAACTTTTTTGGAAGATTCTAGGGTATCAGGTTTATAATATGTTTTAAATCGGGTTTAGAATCAGGTTTAGAATCAGGTTTAAAATCAGGTATAGGATTTGGTTTAAAATCAGGTTAAGAATCAGGTTTAGGATCAGGTTTAGAATCAGGTTAAGGATTAGGTTTAGGATTAGGTTTAGAATCAGGTTTAGGATCAGGTTAGAATCAGGTTTAGGATTAGGTTTAGAATCAGGTTTACAATCAGGTTTAGGATTAGGTTTAGAATCAGGTTTAGAATCAAGTTTATGATCAGGTTTAGAATCAGGTTTATAATTGGGTTTAGGATTAGGTTTAGAATCAGGTTTCTGGTTTAGGATCAGGTTTAGAATCAGGTTAAGAATTAGTGTTTAGAATCAGGTTTAGAATCAGGTTTAGAATCTGGTTTAGGATCAGGTTTGTGATCAGCTGTTTGGGATTAGGTTTATAATTAGGTTAAAAATCAGGTTCAGAATCAGGTTAAGGATCAGGTTTAGAATCAGGTTTAGAATCAGGTTTAGAATCAGGTTTAGAATCAGGTTAGGATCAGGTTCAGAATCAGGTTAAGGATCAGGTTTAGAATCAGGTTAAGGATCAGGTTTAGAATCAGGTTAAGGATCAGGTTTAGGATCAGGTTCAGAATCAGGTTAAGGATCAGGTTTAGAATCAGGTTAAGGATCAGGTTTAGAATCAGGTTTGGAATCAGTTTAGAATCAGGTTTAGAATCAGGTTTAGAATCAGGTTTAGAATTAGGTTTAGGATAAAGTTTAGGATTAGGTTGGGGATTCGGTTTAGAATTAAGTTTGGAATCAGGGTTTAGAATCAGGTTTAGGATCAAGTTTAAAATCAGGTTTAGAATCAGATTTGAGATTATTGCACGACAAATCATAACCTTGAGAGTAAAGTGTTATACTGTATATATATATCAAGGTTCTATAGTAAGGTTGGTTACTCTCAATGCGCTCCAATTTACGGAAAATGTCGTCTCCTAAGATAGATAAAAACCTAAAATGACATCACTGATTAAAGAGGCGAGAGTGACATCATATTAGGTTTTTATTTATTTAGCTGAGGAGACGACATTTCCCTTACATTGGATCGCATCGAGAGTAACCAACTTTAATATACAACCTTGATATAAACTATATATACTGTATAGTACATATAGACTCTAATATACAACCTTGATATAAACTATATACTGTATAGTACATATAGACTCTAATTTGATATAAACTATATACTGTATAGTACATATAGACTCTAATTTGATATAAACTATGTACTGTATAGTACATATAGACTCTAATTTGATATAAACNATATTTTTTACACTTTTTATATTTTTCATACTTCTCATAGTTTTAATACTTTTAATACGTTTAATTCTTTTGATATTTTTCATATTTTCATATTTTTCACACTTTTTATATTTTTCATACTTTTCATACTTTTAATACTTTTCATACGTTTAATTTTTTTGATATTTTTCATATTTTCATATTTTTCTCACTTTTTATATTTTTCATACTTTTCATAGTTTTAATACTTTTAATACGTTTAATTCTTTTGATATTTTTCATATTTTCATATTTTTCACACTTTTCATACGTTTAATTCTTTTGATATTTTTCATATTTTCATATTTTTCACACTTTTTATATTTTTCATACTTTTCATAGTTTTAATACTTTTAATACGTTTAATTCTTTTGATATTTTTCATATTTTCATATTTTTCACACTTTTTATATTTTTCATACTTCTCATAGTTTTAATACTTTTAATACGTTTAATTCTTTTGATATTTTTCATATTTTCATATTTTTACACTTTTTATATTTTTCATAGTTTTCATAGTTTTAATACTTTTAATACTGTTTATACTTTTTATACACTAGACTAGTTTTTTAAGAGGGTTGGGCAATGCAAGATATGCAAGATATGGTCCAATTTCTTATTATTAACGATCGTAATAATTGCATCCAAATAATGTAAACAAGGAATTTATGCATGTGTGGTAGGAAAATCATGGTAACTAATTACTTAGATTCATTTTAGTTTAATACAGGGTTAAACAGACTTCCGAGACGACTGTACGGAATCAATACTGTCCGATTTATTTTATTCATAATTCCCTAAAACTGTAACACTTTATTTCTTTGTCAAATTATAAACAAAAAGCCTAGATAAAAAAGCCATTACCTATACTAACTTCAAGGCAGAAGACTTTATTTTACATTAGGTCGACTTTATAGCCCCATTCTTTGTGGGTAACATCTCTTTGTAAACATGGATATGGGGATTCCTGGTTAATTCATACGATTTAATCCGGTTCTATAGTAATTGTTTTATTAATAACAACAATTTTAGTTTTGAACTCTGAAAGTCGCCATTTTAAATTATTCTCCAATTATCGCGGAATTCTCTGTTTAAATTTGTGCATTTTCAAAAATAATAAATGTTTTTTTTTCTGGGGTCATGTTGGTTGCCTCGGTTCAGCTGTTCTTACGTATATTGGATGTACATTGTGTGTTTTCAGCATCTTTTATCTGAGTTGGGTTGAACCATACTAACTTACCAGAGGTTTATGTACAGAGCATATTTGATATACAGAGCATAGAAGCTTAAAGGAGATGAAAGTAGTACAGCATGCCGTTAAATACTTTTAGCCTTTTTAATATGTTTTCTGAAAGAATGAAGGATGACGGGTGAAGGATGAAGGATGAAGGATGAAGGATGAAGGATGAAGGATGAAGGATGAAGGATGAAGGATATAGGATGAAGGATAAAGGATAAAGGATAAAGGATAAAGGATGAAGGATGAAGAATGAAGGATGAAAGATGAAGAATGAAGGATGAAGGATGAAGGATTAATAATGAAGGATGAATAATGAAGGATGAAGGATGAAAAACAAAAATTTAGAATTAAAAATGAATGAAGAATGAAGGGTTAATGATTAAGAATGAAGGATGAAGGATGAACGATGAAGGATGAAGGATGATGAATGAAGAATGAATGATGAAAAATGAAGGATGAATGATGAAGGATGAAGGATGAAGAATGAAGGATGAAAAATGAATGAAGAATGAAGGGTTATTGATTAAGAATGAAGGATGAAGGATGAAGGATGAAGGATGAAGGATGAAGAATGAAGGATGAAGGATGAAGTATAAGGATGATGGATTAAAATACTGGAAAAAATATTTTTAAAACAATATAAAATGATACAAAAAAAACGATACTGGCGTTACTGAATAAAGGTTACAGGATACTGGATACAGGATACTTAAATCAGGATACAGAACAAATGATACAGGATGCAGGACACAGGACACAGGCTAAAGGATACGGCGGAATACAGAATACAGGATGCTGGAATCAGGATACAGGATACAGGATACTGGATACTATTACGGATGGATACAGGATGAAGGATAAAGGATACAGGATACAGGATACAGGATACAGGATAATGGATACTTTATCTATGGTACAGGATATAGGATACAGGATAATTGATACTGTATCTGTGATACAGGATACAGGATACAGGATACTGGATACTTTAAAGGATGGATGTAAACTAAAGAAACCAACAAGTAAGGTTTAGGATGAGCGGAGGCTGTGGAAGGATTTGAGCCGCTCAACAGATGAGTTTTCTCGGAGAACCCAAACTTTTAAAACTTTCTCGGAAGAATTCCTTGGCATACTCTTCTCTTTACTCCAACCTATCCCGCTTATACTACTTATATTTAAACCTAGAGTCGAGCGTAACTCATACAATTTCTTCTCCTCTAATCATCCGTATAAGAAACAGCCCATCAAATATTCATACTTTTAACCCAATGTATGACAAATTTTCCCGTTTTATCGTATCTTTTGCCTTTGCAACATGATAAAATTTTCGAGTCCCATATATCTTTGTAACCTAATGCTGTAAACCTTCGATATTTCAAGCCTAAGTTATTATTACAGAATCGATAGTTAGAAATATCAAAGGTCCAAGACACTGGATTGCCAATTAGAAAATCCGAGTTTTGGTGAAGAACTAATTTCTTGATGTAATTAAAACCAGAATATAATCATATAACATATTAGTGACCATAAACCTATCGCCTAAACCCCACCCTCACTTAATGTCGTCTTAACAGCCCAAATCCAAACCAAACAATTTCACCGACTCTACCTCTCTACCCCCCGACAAAGGAAAATCGAAACAGTGAAACGTTTTACTAAGTGAAAGATCAAATCAATAAATAACTTTGCAATCAATAGTAAATTCCACTTAAAAACAAGGTTTATAAATGTTTTAAACTATCCTATCAAACCCTCCAATCCCTAATCACTCATTTCACCACAACACAAAAAACTACTAAGATATATTATTAAAGATTCAATTATATCTAAACATTGTCATTCATATGTATACTATACCTGCATTCTATTGCAGGTTCGAAATGTATCCATTTACTTGATTATTTGCGACTGTTGTGTCCGAGTTAAGGAGCCCAATCAACAAATCAACAAGATCGCCGATCAATTAATCAATTGGCAAATTAATCAACAAGACTATTAGTCTACCATTTACCATTGTTTTACGCATATATATTATTTATTAAGAAATTAAAAGATAAAAAAAATATGGATAAGGTATCTATATAACAAAACAAGACATTCGTATATATCATTAGAGCGCTGCACCGAATGGGCTGACATTTTTTTGTGGTCACACATGCATGGGTAGACTGGGGAGGACAAAGGCTAAAAAAATTTGACTTTTTTTCAAAATATTTTTTTATATAAATATGTATATTTTTCAGCTAGTATTTAATATAATGCAAAATGTTGGACGAGTATTTAAAAAGGATAAAACGCGTCGTCATTGAAGGACATTTTCATTTTTTTTAAATTTAACTTTTATTTTGATTAAAATTCAGAGGAAATGTCTCATCCTTAAATTGTTTGATACAATGGGGAATATACTCTCAGATGGAAACTTTTGCATTGATAATCTCAGAAGAACGAATTAATCCGTTTCTTTAGTCGTCCGACAGATACATTGTTCAAACAGAATACACAAATTACGCCCGACGTAATATTTACGATTGTTATAAAGAAGTTAAATGTCAGAATTCAACATGTTTCAACAGTATATTTATTCAACACATTAAAGAGCTAGTCCTTTCATCGCCACCAATTGTATTTATAGATAATCAACCTGCACTTCTAGTGGGTGAGGGGGATGATTATCTCAACCCCCCCCCCCCAGGGCATCCCCGTCTGATAACTTTGAGTCCAATCCAATCTTATGTAATTTTATCATTTTGATGTGCCAAGCTTTAATTTATATTCATGCATATTTACATAAACCTATTCATGCATATCAGGGATATAATAGGGTTCATCCTATTCATGCATATCAAGGATATAATAGGGTTCATCCTATTCATGCATATCAGGGATATTATAGGGTTCAGCCTATTCATGCATATCAGGGATATAATAGGGTTCATCCTATTCATGCATATCAGAGATATAATAGGGTTCGGCCTATTCATGCATATCAGGGATATAATAGAGTTCAGACTATTCATGTATATCAGGGATATAATAGGGTTCAGCCTATTCATGCATATCAGGGATATAATAGGGTTCATCCTATTCATGCATATCAGAGATATAATAGGGTTCGGCCTATTCATGCATATCAGGGATATAATAGAGTTCAGACTATTCATGTATATCAGGGATATAATAGGGTTCAGCCTATTCATGCATATCAGGTATATAATAGGGTTCATGGCCTATTCATGCATATCAGGGATATAATAGGGTTCAGCCTATTCATGCATATCAGGGATATACTAGGGTTCAGACTGTTTCGGGATTTAGGTCGCGTCAAACTTAAAAGTTGGGGGAGCTAAGATTAACAGTCTATTTTGAATAATTGATAACTGATTAGTTACCACAATCTTTTATTTTCCTTTCCATATTTAGAATTGAGTCTTTACCACAAACTCAAATGTTAAAATCCATATATCTTTGCATCCTAATCTCGGAGTCTTCAGATATTTCAAACTTTTCTATTAGATCAAATAATCTAAGTTTAAAATTTTACAGGTTTACACCATCAGGTTTTAAACATATAGGTATTAGAAACGTTGCTGCAAAGACTCAAATCCTTTGTAACGAAATTGTGTAAACATTTAACACTTTTATCAGTTTAATCTTACTGAATTCATTGAATGAAATATCAACCGATATAGGCTTGAAAAATATAGGGATTACCCATTTAGAGTTTTAGAAGTTATTAGTTTCTTTTGATCAGATGGCGTTTGAAAACAAACAAAAAACGAAAACACCTCCATTAAAAACAAAAATTTAGAAGTCAACGAAAAGAAAGGTTATATACGAACACGATTTTTAGAAAGTAGATTGCATGGTTTTCAAATCTACATGTATCTTATAAATTCCTTTCTCTTTCCGATTTGTTATCTACAAGTTATTGTTTTCTCCGGGCAATTAATTTATTTGAAGAAATATATGTTTTACCAATATTAGAGGGAAAACTAGTCTGCAACTAGAACTATCTGAAGAAAGTAAAAGAACCTGTCTAATCATTCGTTGGGATGTTTAGAAAGATGAAAATTTCCCTGTATGATAATTGAAGGACTGCAGTATGGTTTTGGTGAATTATATTGGCGTACTAAGCCTAGGGGTGTCAGAAATGATTTTTTTTGCATATTTTTAAAAACATCTATAAAACTTTTTAAGTTTAATTTTTGAT